TTTTCGGCATGTGAATTGTTTGGAAACCTTGTCAATCCTTACTACCAAGTTAATAATTAGCACAAAGGTGTGGTAACAAAACTGAATGCCATCCAGCTGAAATGGTTTTCTTTATTACTTATAAATTCACACTATTGTCAAGATTTAAGAAAACAATAGTAGAAACTAATAATTTAAGTTTATGAGTAAAATTTCTGTTTTAAGGGCCAAAAACATATTATGTTATCTACTAAGATACGAGTCTGAATGTTCAACTTTGCATGTGTCTTCTCCCCTTAAGTCATTGTTATGTATGAACAACATGCTGTAGTATCTTACATAGCAAAATCTGATAACAAAGAAACCTGTCAAGTGCTCATTATCTATATCATAATCCCTTTGATACTATTTTACTGTTTAAGTATTTGAGGTCAAGTTATTAAAAGAAAGAGAGAGTAGTCATCATTTCACAATTGTAATACCTCACCGGTGAACATCATCAAGCACATAAAAATGTCCAGTTTACAAAAAACCAGTGTTTGATTTTTATTTTGTGACATACAAACATTATCATTTTGTTGAAAGGTCATTATGAAATTTATTCCACACTTGAAAATAATTAAAATAGTAATATGTAGAAAGCTTCTTCCTTAACAGTATAAACAATTTTAACATTTTTTTTGCTGTAGTGACTCTATAACTTTTAACAGCTTTTCTTGATTGGCTACAGTCTGAATATTAAGGTCTTTTAAGTCTTCTGCTTTCAATTCTTGAAATGCTTCCATGTCCACCTATATACATGGAGAGATTCACAATCATTATAAATTTTTATTTATGAAGGAATTATATAACTATTTAGAACACACTACTTATGCTGTGATAGAAAAGTAAAGGAGGTTTAGCTGTCATACCAGAAACAGAAGGAAAGAAATAGGTAGAAATATATATGGCAAACAAAGATATGTTTGAAGTTTGGCATATTCAGTTTATGATAGATCACACAGAGTTATTATAAAACTAAAATAAACCATAAGCTAACAACAAACTGTTAAGAATTTGTAAAATACATGCACAATTATTCAATAAGTTTAACATTTTTTCATAATAAAAGTAAGATCAAATGTGTTAATTTATATGTCATGGTCAATTTCCTAATATTCCACATATGAAATTTTTGTGACTTTTTTTGTACCAGTTTTATATTAGAAGAGAAATAAGGAACTAAAATTAATACATTTTGAAGTGACAGGAACATAGCTAGAGTAAAAAAAATGGAAAGGGTGTGAAAGGTATTTTGGTTATGTGTGTGTAAAACATATTTAATACATTAATTTTTTTTGCATTTGGCCAGCTTAGCTATTATTTTATAAAAATAAATTTATTTATTACAAATTTTCATTTTGTATTTTTATCTTTTTAAATTTTTGTTAGCTATTTCTGAGTCAGTGTTCTGTTTAAAAAGTTGTTTCAATAGATTATTAGAATTATAACTAGCACCAAAGATGTAATTATAGAGGTATTTAGATGTCATTTTCTACATGTTTCATCAGTTTGAGTATAGAAAAGAATACTGAAGGTAAAGTGTGGAATGATGCATTTTTGTTAATGTAGCAACTTATTTAGTAGAAATGTAATGAACTCATTATATAATCAACAGAATTATGAATACATTCTATAATTACATTGTTATGCATTAGTGTACAAAAACTTGTGTTCATATTAGTTAAACTGTTTTCAGTTGTTATTCATATACACCAGCTAGTTGTATTTTAAGTTTTCTGAAGTCATGAGCGATGTGACAGAAGAAATACGAGCCTTGGTATTGGGCAAAAAGACTCATTGACATAGTGGTATATTCTTCTTAACTTCTTAGAATTACATTAATTTTTCTATTTTTTTTTTCACTTAATACAAGATAGCTTCAGACTACAGAAAAACAGTATTATAATCTTAATCCAGAAGCATTTTATGTTTACAAAATTATGTCCAAACAATTAGAAAATGATTTGTATAATAAGTGATTATATGTTTGTTCTTTCATAAACTTGCATAAATTTTTTATGCTTAGTTTTTGAAAATTACCTCTTGGTTGTTGCTGTGTAGAAATATTAAGCATTGAATAATAGCAAAACCATAGCCTCTGACCCACTAATTACACCCCAGTCCAAGTAGTTGTCAAACTTTTACAGTATATTAATCCCTCTACTTCTCTTCAAGTGTGGGTTACAAAACTTTTCCATTGTGCTGTATTGAAAATAGTAGAAGTTGCAACTTTTCTACTTAGTTTGAAGTTTGATTGAAATTATATATATATATAGTTTTACCTATTAATCAAAGTATGTGCCGATTGTGAAATCACTGGGAATTTTTTTATAGGTAAGACATGTATATATATATAAAGAGTTCAGTTGAAAGACAAGTCAGTCATCAGTTTTATTTACTGTAGGTATCAAATCCAGTTAGTCTTACAGAAGTTTATTTTTTTAGTTGTTTATACCAAAGATGAGTGTTCCTATAAATAAAAATATTTTTCTTAGCAAGTCTTGTACAATTGATTCTTGTTTGTAAATAATTACACTATTTTCTTTTATAAATTATGCACACAAAAAAGCTAAAAATACCTAATGTAGGTTAAGTAAATAATACCCAGAATTTGAAATAATTTTTTTTATAAGATTATCATTTCACTTTCTTTTTTGTTAACAGTTATTACAAACTTGTAGTTTTAATTGGATAAATCCCTCTCAATCGATTGAGATCAAGTAGGGTTTAAAATATATCATTAGTTGCTCACCAAAGAACTTCAATATCACCAAAACTTTTATTATGAAGTTTTTGTGGTGATAAACTAATATTACTTGATATTTCTTCGATATAATACCTACTTCAAACTACCTGAACATCACCTGTCTAATCAAAATGTTTCATCCAGGCTTAAGCTCATGTTGTTTGCTGCTTCAAAAAGATTCTTTGAATGGAATAGTTTAAATATGTAGTTTGTCTCAGACATTTGGCTTGTGTTTGAATACAAGTAAAAAGTGGAAAAAATTGAAAGTGTAGGAACGGGCATGGTGTAATAAAACTTCCTCTGTACAATCTGATAATTGGGTGTGTCAAACATCCTATCTGTTTATATGACACCAGAAGAATCAAATATTTGTGTGGGCCAATAACTTTTTTTTTCTTTACAACTTGTTCCTCCTTCAGGATTTCATTCATTAGCTATATAGGTGGATTAAAATACAAAGATAAAAAATCCTAAAAGGTTTCTGTGTACTGATGTCAAAAGTAGTAGAGTCGTAGAAACTCTTTTGTATGTACCCATATTGCCACAAGCACTAAGTAGACATAGTTTAACACAAAAGAATGTTTCAAGAAAATATAATGTATGTATATATAAATACATGTATCGTGAGTATGGTAGTACTTATAGTAGGAATGGGGTGGATACACAATACAAACTATTTACTTACATACACCTTTCACAACCAAATAATAAGTCTTCAAAAGTACTTGAGACATCATTAGGTGATAAACAAACCACATAAAAATTACAAGCCATAGAATTACTTGAGGAAGTCAGCAGAGTAGATACAAAAAAATCACAATCTCACTGACATTGTTGAATGCTTCTCGCTGTGTAACAAACAGACTTCCATGGTTATAAGTGCATCAAATAGAACAATAGCACAGGGACCATGTGCTAGTTTTAGCATTTTTTTATGCTGAACATCACCTAAAAGATCTGTTTGATGTAAATTAGGTAATACCTTGAACAGGGACGTCATTTTAAAATGCATACATCCACTCACTCACTCCATATAGGAAGTCCCACCACTATTCAAAAATGTCAAGGTATACCTATTGGTTTACGATATTCAAACCCATTTCCCCGAGTTAACTAATGCTGGAGTAAAACAAACTAATAATTACATGTATTATGCAGTGTTGTAATAATTATCAGTATACTTATATCTAAACAAACAAGGACAAAATGCAGCTTAATTAAACCTGTTTCTTTCATAAATGCCAACCTGCATTACCAGTATTAGCTACATGAAATTCTAGTTCTTACATGAACTAAATAAAGTATTTAATTAAATTAACTAATTTACCAACCCTTAATATATGCACACAACCACAACTCGCATGAAAACACTTAAATGACATTGCACACTATAATGTATGTGCTATCACATATACAGCACATATGTACACACACCATAATATTATTGTACATGCCCACATTGATGATATAGATACAGAATATCAACACAAATAAATTAATGAATGTATGAAAAAAGTGCATGAACAAGTAGAAAAATATTTTATAAAGAATGGAAAGTGTAGGAATTGGCATGGTGTAATAAACCTTTCCTCTGTACAACCTCACAAGAAGATGTGTCCAACATCCAGTCCATGCCTACTTCATTTTTTGTTTTGTGTTCATGATATTATACAATGTGCATGCAGCACCAGCTTATTGTGAACTGATGATTGAGTGTTTTTTTAAAGTACCTATGGAAGGACATGGTAAGTAACTCAAGAAACAAAATTCCTGCCTTCCTATCTTGATTAAAAAGTCAACCAAAGTTACATAAAAAGATCACTGTGAATAATGTACTTTCCTTTCCAGATCTGTTGGTAATGATAATTCAGGAAACTTTTCACTGCTTACTTTTGCAAGTTATTAATCAAACATACAAATTTATCAGTGCTGTTTTCCAAAAAATCCTTTCAACATTTTCTTAATGAAGGATACTGAGAAATGTTTCTTTGTGCTCCTCTTACTTGACATATTTTACCTCAATCTTTTGGATTATTGCTAATATTTAGGTACTAAAAAGTTATGGTAAGGAAAATTTGTAATTTAAGTTACTTGATATACATGTTGTAGTGCAAAAATTTTATTGTAATGGTCTTGGCAGACCCTCGGTGATTTTTATTCCAAACAATTTGTGAGTTTGACCACCATATACATGACTGTGGTATTTCTACTACAAAAAAAAGATACAAGGCAATTTTGAAGAAAAGTGGAGATTTATAAGTAAAGCAACAAAAGTAAGGTCACTGAGAGGGCTGTTTGAACACATCCAACAGTTTTTTCAGTTTCTCTTTTTTTAAAAATCATTGACATTTTTGTTTGTAAAAGCTAGGATGTACATATCTGTTGGAATTACTATATATATATATTTTGTTTCCAGTACCTACGTCTTTTATGTTGATAACAAATGAAAAACAATACAGTGCATCAAAAATATCTACAAATAAAGAACATTAATGACATATTTGAAAAGATTCATGGAATAACTTCAGGTCAATAAACTGGCCTGGGTTGCTGGGTAGGAAGCAGCCCAAATCTTTTCTTGATGATAATCCTCTGTCTGGAGTATTTATCTTCTGGGGAGAAACGTGCTATCAGGAAATAAAATTTTAACAAGTTTAATATTGTGTGTCAAACTCCATACATTGTATAACCCTATATATATATTTTACCTCTATTCTTAGCAGTTTGATCTTTAAAACACCGAGAACTCTTATTTTAAAAACTTAATATAAAACAGACAGAAACTTTCATTAAATAATGAGTCAACATACATATAACTGCCACTTTTTTTTTTTAAATACAGAATAGGAAATAAGTACTTAAGCAGTTTAGAAAAAGAATGTGGGTATAACAAGCAAATAACATGAAAATACCTCCCCTTTTGTTGTGTGCAAATGTACTGCACCAGAGTACAGCCATAGTTAGGACAAGACTCCATGTTTCTGTAGGTGCTGTAAGTTTATTTAAGATCTGAAACTGGTAGTGTTTATAATTAAAATAGTTGAAACAGCTAGCCAAAACTCATGGTTTGTTTTTTGACAGCAGATCTTGTCAATGGAGATTGGAATGTTAACAACAGTAAAATATACATTAATACAGAGTGATCTTAATGGACATAAAGCAGCTCTAAAACTGCTGCTGAGAAGTGCTAACTGAATCAAAGGGTTGAAACAGGCACTGGACAACTGATAGTAGAATAAGCAAAGCTGGGAACATGTTTTATATACATAAATTCAAACTGGCTGGCAACAGTTGATGACAGTTTGTTTGATAGCAAAGAGAAAAATTATACCATACTCAATGTACAACATCTACAATGAAACACAGTGGGGATTAAGTGTAAGCTTAGGACTGCATCTGAGACAAGGATTTGCTGACAAGTACAGGCAGATTCGGGTCCATCATGCCATTCTCTCCGGATCACAACTCAAAGGACAGAGATTCATCTTCTAGGAAAAGGATGATCCCAAGCATACAGAAATTCTGTTGAAATGATATTTTGATGGTAAAGAGGCCAATGAAGCACTCACAATCACAGCTTTGCCTGAGGTTTATGTAAAAATAGGGAAGGTCAAATGTCAACTAAACAACCTAGCTGAATTGTGGAAAGTAACACAGAATGTTTGGAACAATATTCTGTAATTGTACATTCAGGTATATTAGTAGGCGAAATGGATGTCTGAGAAAAATCGATCTAGGGTTTGAGGGCTGCTAAATAGAGATGAGTGATTAATGGAAGTTGCTAATAATTATTTTCACATGAGACTAATATTCCTATTTTCAGCCTGTTTTAGGTTTTTCAAACACATATGTTTAATATAATAGATATCTTAAGGTACAACAATTTAGGATTAAGTTACTTTTTTAATTGTAACAAGCAAAAAAATGATAAATATTGTTCTGTGGATTTCTGCCTTCAAATTTTCACAAGACTATATAAACAAATGCTTTGTAAAAATAACTGTCCTTAGACTTCATGTGATAAAACTAGTAATGATTCTTGTCAGACTGTGTGATAATATATAATTCAGTGAAATAGATTCACAACAATCCCAGAAAAACATTCAGTATCAAGCAAGTAAACTTGTGTTGGTAATAGGTGACCTTGTTGCAGATATTAAAATGATTCATAAGGTGCATATCAAGTATATAAAATATTAATATTCTGGTAATAGGAAAAACATTTTAATTACAGATATTGTGAATTTTTTCATAATTCTATAATTAGTGTGAAAAACTTAAAAAAATAGTTATTAGCATAAGAAACACCACAAACTTTTAAGCAAGAAGTTGTGGATATGATTAGAAGTTTAGAAAGAACACGTTAAAATTATTAATATGTTTACATTTTACAGTACAAACTGGATGAAACACTAATGTGCTAAGAATTCAATAAATTAAAAACTTACTGTAGTGGGCAGTGTTTAAGTGGAATGTTAGAACAGTTGTAATTAAACAGGAGCCCTTTTTGTGTAAATAGATTAATGAGCTAATAGTGATACATATTGTTATAAGTCTATGTCAAGTAATTTCTGACACATTTGAATGAGCAAGTTATTTAGCACCCAAAATAATTTTTAGTGAATCTCTCTCTCTCTCTCTCTATATATATATATATATATGTATATTTATATAAATGAAATGTGGTTGATTGTACCCTAACTCCTCTGAGTCTATTGGGCCAATCTCAAACAAAATTTGTATGTAAACACTATGAACTATAGGGAATGTCCTAAGGGGGTTAAAATTGAACTTAACCATATTTCTATGTTGTAAAATCTGTTGGTTAATTACTCTCAGCCCATAGAGGCAATCTCAAACAATCTTGGCAGGTTGACACTTTAGACAATGTTAAATATTCTAAAGGGATTCAAGGTCAAATTATGAAAGTTGCTGGATTGTTTCTCAAACAACCATGCTTTTCTCATGATCAATGAGATGTTGTAGGGTGGGATCACCTCAAAAACTTTATTTGTTGGTAGATGGAAAGCAAACTACAAATGTTTATGAAGAAGCTTTGTTATAATTTTGAGATAAAGTTTATTTTCATCTTATTACTTTGAAATATATTATTGTTGTTACACTTACAGTGTTATAATTAAGTTTAAATATTTCCCGTCATTTGATGGGTATTTCAGTTTGTGTGGACAAACCTTGAGTTGGTGGTTGCTATGATTATGTAATCGAACAGAATGGAGGGAGAAGAATGTGATGCTTGTTGCATGAATGTCTTGAGTCAACAGTAAAATTGTGTGGGCTCACTGTTTTGTGCTAAAAATTTAAAGTTCTCTTGGTGACGAGTTAGATATTGTGTATAAATGTGATGAACAGTGATGGCAGAGCAGTAGTAGTAGACATGTATGAAATTTGATCATATTGTGAAAAGTGTTTGACTTGATGATGTAGAATTATTCATTCATGTGACTGTCTTAGTATCGGAAGAGATGTTCTTAATCATGTGGTGATAAATGCAAAATGTTGCATAGCTGAGTGAGGAGACATCAAAGGGAAAGCATCAGAGAGACAAGGAATATGACTAAAGAAAGAGAGTGAAGAACTACATAAAAGAATGAGAGAGATATTACATATGGCTGAGGATTAATGAAGAGAAGGGTCACGTTTTGCATTTGTCGAGAAATGAACATAAAAAGAGGTCTGTGGAGAAAGCAGAACGTGTTTTTAAGGTTGCACAAACTTCAAAGTAGACACTATCAGGAAATGCGAAGAGAGTGATAAACATCAGCAGGGAAGTGGAAAAAAAGCTAAAGAAGCAGAGCATGGGACCTATCAAGCAGAGAAAATGCTCAAGAAAATGAACAAAAAGGTCTTGCACTGATTGAAGCATCTTTTTAGAAATGCATATGCAATTGCCAAGCAATGCCATCCATTTACAGACTACATTTGGATGTGCACACTAGATGATACAAAAGGCTTGGAAATTTGGACCAGTGTACCCTCTAAGCTGCGCAGTTGCACAATAACCAACCGAGTGCAGTGCACATCCTCAGTAATGGTGAGGAGTCTCAACACATTGACAGCTTTAATGACCCTAGAAATTAATAGGCCTAAAGCCCAAATAACCATTGCAAAGTTGCCTAACGATCCACAATAAAGAATAGAGATGACTCTTCTTAATTCTTGACCAACTCACCAAACTAAATCCATTTGATTAATATAAAATTTTATTTTCACTTATTTAAATCTTGATCTCATTTTATGCTGGCAGACTTTGGGGATGAAGAAGTCCAAACTCTGGCAAAGCACTTTTAACCACTCCTAGAAGGTGCCAAAATAAACACTGCCAAGCATGGCATAGAGTGGGATTTACTCAAAGCAAGAATGTATATCAGGTAAATCAATGACAGAGTTTTAGTTGAAATAACACCTAGGAGTTAATAAGTCAGAGTAGAATGTGTCAATTTGTGAAACATGATATTTGAAAGTAATATATGGGTAATACAATATTACAATAAAACTGGTAATTTTTAATTAAATCATTTAAATTATTATTAGCTATATATTGTGATAATATATCACACACATATTGTATACTACTTACAAATGCTATTCTATACCCTATCAATTCTGCTAACAATTGTCACACATGCTTACCAGGATGGGCTGAAAATGTTGGCCTTCCCAATGGATCTACTGCCTGTAATATAATGAATGAAAAGTGTTACAATTATAAAATTACAGTATAGTTAATGTTATAATTTAGAGAAAAATAAACATAAGGTGCAATAATAGTTTTCAAAAGGGGAATTAACACTTGAAAGTACATCTTCACAGAAATGAAAAGTGAAACTAAGAGCATTATAACTTATAATCACTACTAACTTCAGTTATTATTATTAATTTGGTTTTTCTATATTTTTTGGTTACTCAAAACATTAACATATTACAAATTTTGCACTGAATGTGGGGTTTTTTTGGTCATTTACGAATTTGTAAAATTGTTCTTAAAAAAACTTTTTTAAGTAGGGGAAAAATACAATCTGGACGTCATTATTTCTTTAAGATTTGTGCTAATTTCATTTTTAATGTATTATAAATGTCAAAATTTACATTTCTGTTGCTATCACAACAATTATCACAAACGTATATAGTACAATTAATAGTTTTTTAACTACAGTAAAAGCTTTTTTATGTAGCATCTTTGTATCCAGAAAACTATTATAACTGCAAATTTAAATATTAACAAATACAAATGCTCATTGTAACCATCTATACTGAGATTCACATTTAAAATACTGTACTTATAAATGTTTTTACACTTATCATGGTTTAAAACTGTTATTGTTATAGATGACATAGAAATACTGTATTTTAGAACATTAGCAAAGTGTCAAAATGTTTCCTCTAAAATATTGTAGGGAAAACTTCTTTCATAACCAAAATTATTGCCTATCCTGTACTGTTCAAGTCTGATACATGCTAGATAATAAAACTTTTATTGTACATATATATTGGTAGGTGGTAATTTCGTAAAACAATGCAACTTTCTCCATTCAGTAAAACACACAGTTGATCGTGCTACCTTTCTAAACTATCTTATCTTGCATTCTTCTCTATTAGTGAACATATTAAACTTAAGAAGAAATGCTTTTACATATATTTCATTATACACTAACAGTAAACAATTGTAGAAATCTTACCTAAATATTCACTTCAATTTTCATCTATTTAATAAGTTCAGAAAATACTGGAAAATTACTTTATAAAACTTTAAAAACAAGATAAACAGATTTTAAAATTTTTTCTTATTCTTAGCAACTGCAGTTATAATGACAGTTTATTGGCATTATTATATTTGTTTGTACAAACTAGATGTTGCCTTTAAATTTAATATATATCATAGTTATTCATTGTTACATTAACTGTATTACTATATATTATATGTCAGTAACATTTTAGCAATATGTCTGAGTTGCTTTCTATAGGAATCTTTATCACAATCTTCTTACTCAATCTAGTATATATAGGATAATCATAAACACCATGTAGATACAAGTTTATTGCTGGTGTTAAAAATATTATGATTAAGTATTTGTGAATTCTAGAAGTTAATGGTTTGAAGAAAACTTATTTGAACTTAAATTGTTATACACAACTATAATAAAGCTTTGCACATCAGTCAAGCTTGTAAGTATACTGATTACATTATTTTACTTAATTATCAAGGTTTTCTTGGCCCAACCAAGCAAATTTATCCATCAGAACTAACTCTGAAAAGCAAAGTACATTACCTGGCTTTATACATCAGTATTGTTAATCAAACATTCAAGTTCAAAGTTTTCAATTGAACATAGACTTAACTTTCAATTTCCAAGTAAATTATGTTACGATCTTTACTACTCACAACTTATTAGACAAAATAGAATTTGTTCAAAGTTATAAATTTTTTTTGGACAGAGCTCAATAAACACACCCTTTAAAGCATAGTGTATTTAATTAGCTGTAATTCATTACTGGGTTGATTTTTATTTTGAATGGAAGTAAATAATAATGTGCTATTAATTATAATTATATATAAATTATACTTCTTCATCGAACCAGTGACAGTAGACTATGTGGAATCTGCTTGCTGATTTCAAATTCTATTACTTTTTAAGTTTTGCTAATAATATTTCTATTTCTTGTGAATATTATTTGCAGAAGTCAACTAAAGTAAATGTATAGATCAGTTCTCAAAAGTAACTTGTAAATTAATGAATGAAACGAATTCTATTTAACAAATTGCCTAGAATAGAAGAACTTTATATGATAATTCAAAACACAAGAAGACTGAAAACGTTTAAGCCTAATATACCTAATTAATAGTTAAAACGCACTGAATGAAATTGAAACTTGGACAAGTTGGTAGTGGTAGGCTCGGAGTTCCAGCATTGTTACAAACATGGTAACTTTAAGTCCTAATTTAAAACGAAAATATTACAAATATAACAACGCTATGTATACAATAAAAAAAAACACAACAACTATTAACCTTTAAGGTGTAAACTCTGTCTCCATTGTCGTTAAGGTAGTATTTCAGATACATTTCTTTGATTTTCAATCACACTATAAAGCATGGAAGTTATATAACCAAAGCCTAATAAGCTACCTTGAAAAATGGACAACGTGTTCTCCCAACCTTATTGCATTCGAACGTGTGGCGTCCTCTATGAAAATTTGAAAATATGCCAGAAAAAAACACACATATTACCCATTCAAGCCGTCTCCAACCATAACATGTGTTATATGTATACATAAACTGCTCATACGATAAAATAAAACAGAACTCATCTAAACGCAAAGAAGATCAAAGTAGCGTTTTACATATTTCACATTGCAGCTATAGTAATAGAGAAATGCTGATAATGTAATTTCATTCCCAAAACGTTACGAACATTTGTTTTCCTTTTTGGAGGTTTTGCATTCCATTACTGTTTAAGCCTTACTGTACTTTAGTTTATTCACCCAAGCAGTTTTGATGAGCTACGAATTTGGCAAAACTAATCTACTGTAGAAGGAGTAGCGAAACAAAGTGTTCTAGCGTAGTTCTCTCGTTAGCGGTTTCTTTTAAATTATTTGGTAAAAATAATTCAGCCCTCACTCCATATCTTGTTTGCTTGTTTGTTATGAATTTCGCGCAAAGCTACACGAGGGCTATCTGCGCTAGCCTTCCTTAATTTAGCAGTGTACGACTAGAGGGAAGATAGCTAGTCATCACCACCTACCGCCAACTCTTGAACTAGTTTTTTTACTAACGAATAGTGGGATTAACCGTAACATTATAACGCCCCTACAGCTGAAAGGGCGAGCATGTTTGGTGGGACGGGGATTCAAATCCGCGACCCTCAGATTGCGAGTCGAGCGCCCTAACAACCTAGCCATGTTGGGCCCCACTCACTATGACGAAAACAAATGACTTTATTTCCTCCTTTAACGTTTCTAGAAGCTCGAACACTGTGCTGTAAATTGCTGTAGCTCCACGTTACAAATAACGTTTGGATCTCTCTAACAGTACAAGGATTAACTTTAAGTCAACTTACTTGTGTAAAGCAACTCAATAAGCATGATATCAAACATAGATCCAAATACTTTACGAAACATATTGACCGATTCAACTCTCTGTCTTAGAATAACTCTACACATTTTATAACTCTCTCGTGCTCATAATCTAATTTCGAATGTTCGAGAAAACTTGATGTTAACGTTCGAACTGCATATGTGAAACAAGTTTTTTGCGCTAGTACGCTGTTTTCTCGAGGTTTTTAAAACATATGATACATATATTGTATTTATAATGTAGTATTTAAAAGATCTATCCAATTCCCAATATTACGTTTTAAGTGAATAGAACCTTGGAAACGGTGTCAATGTGCTAAAAACAACATATTGTTGTTTTGATTTGAGTTATTTTGCAGTTTTCATCCTTTAAATTTTTCAAGTTATTGATTAAGGTCTTAAAATTATGCTTTTCAAAAACTTTTATAATACCTTTGCAAACAAAGAATACATTGGATAAGTTGACACCTTTCTAATTCAATACAAATTAAGAAGGTACTGGAGTGTTGTTGAAACTTTACAACATTCTCATTGCACATTTCAACACCAATCATTGCTCATCTAAATTTAAATTGTTTTATTGGGTAAAAAATAATCGATTAATGCTACTGAACTTTTGTATTTTGAAAATCACACAAAACGTAAAGATATAAAAACTACAAAATTCATTTTACACATAATAAATACGTTAAAAACATTTTGATATTCAAAACAGTTCCAATAGAGATTCTGTCATCGAATCTACTTGTTTCCTTCTCCGCTCCTGCGTTTGTATCAAGGTTGAGTGATATCCCTGATTTATCTAAGATTTTACGTATGAATCCGGTTCAAACAATTGCAAATGAGGGCCGTTTAATTTGATAAATAAAAGATTTGAAACACTTTTAATGGTAAGAGCGTTTTGAGTTTTAGTTGTTATCAGATTAATTTGACTAAATCCACGCTAACATTCAGCCATCGAAACTGGAATGGTATGAATTACTATATATATATATTTTTTTTTTTTCGAAGTTTTCCATCTGTAACTTTACCCCCGGTTTCTTTAAATTCTCAAAATGGATGGATGGTTTGTCGAGTTTTAAGACAAAATCACTCATAAATATTCAAGTTCAAAGTTTTTCAACTGTGGTACTTCAGTGGAGTTTCAAGTTCATCTGTCAAGAATTATTTGCAAAGAATTTAACTTCCGCAATTAAAGAACGCTATTAGTTTTGTTCTGAAGTTTCAGCTGAGTTGTTTTTTATGTTTTTGTTGAAATGATCTGGTTGATAGAAGGCAACTGTTTAGGTTTTTCGCAAGCTTCACAAAAAATATTTTTCTATCAATTTCAACGTCACATGTCCGTTCTTCATGGAGTTTTACATTAAAAAATTATCCTACCTTTTCAGTTTAAGAACATTCTGTTCATTGTACTGGGTTTACCAGTCATATATTCAAATGCCTTTATTTGGCTACAAATTGAACGGTGATAATCCACTAATGAGACTTCTCGTTATTGGACTTCCATAAACAGCTTATTCGTTACCTGAAGAGCATTGTACATAATGCCAAGACTTTTCACGAATTGCGCTGAGGCGAATCGTAATTTCAATCCATTTTAAGTCCACCTTTGTTTTAAGTCTCTTGAAGTGTCTTCTCAAGCTTCAGAAAAATTCTTGTATATTGTACCATAGGAGTTCCAGACAGTTTTCACGGCATTTAAACGTGAAGCCACCCACCTTGTGCTGAGCACCCTTCCTACTTTTAAAATCTGAACTTCTAATGCTTTAGCGCATTTCGAAAGGTGTCTTTGATTTTTGAAAGAAACGTGATAAGTGCTACTCAGTTTCTCCATATATATTTTGAAAATATTTATTCCAGAAATTCTCAACGGCGTAGTTAACAAAAAAGTCTAATCTGTGACAAGAGATACATTGGCATATTTCTACAAAGATAAATACGAAGATAAACATAGATGAGCTGGTATGAACGGTGGTGTTAAGTGTGGTTATTTAACGACTTATACCAAAGTGTGTAAAAAAATTAGAATGTAATAATGTGAAACATAAATTAGCCTAGTTCGTGCTTTTATAGCTGTTTTATTAGAAATAGATACACCCAACCAAATACATGTACTTTGCTTTCTCTTTCTTTCATAACATCTCACCAGCAGAAAAAGTAGCTATAAAACAGCTCCGAACAAACGGCAATCTAAACCTAAAATAATCAAACAAAGAGAAAGGTTTTGTAGTCCCAACTAAAAAAAGTTACCAAGGTAGAATAGAGGAACATCCACCTATGCTACACTAAACAAAAATCCAACAAAGAATATTGAAGCAAACGCCAAAAAGATACTTAAACATCTAAATTGCCCCCCAGTGGCACAGCGGTGTGTCTGCGGACTTACAACGCTAGACTCCAGGTTTTGATACCCGTGGTGGGCAGAGCACAGATAGCCAATTGTGTAGCTTTGTGCTTAATTACAAACAAACAATAAACATCGTAATTAAGAAAGTGATTTGCTGGAAAAATTAGTACCGGAATTAAACCTCTCTCATAGTCGTATACCTAAACTATACGGAGTCCCTAAAGACCATGAACAAAATTTACCTTTAAGGCTCACAGTGTCAGCGTATGACTTTGCAACATAAACCATATCCTGGTTATTAGATTAACTGTTGTAACCATGTCTAAAGAATGTTCCATCACACTTATTAAACAATACAAAATACCTCTTACAAAAGATACACCCTTCTACACAAACAATATGCGCTGACTTCATTTTACTTTTCTTAGACGTAATCGCATTTAACCCATCCATATCCATAGAAGAAGACAAATGATAGTATCATTAACTTCATAAAATTTCACTTGAACAGCACATTTTTCCAGCGAACGTCACGTTGGAAACCATCCGCACAATGCTCAATTTTGTCCTGCACAATAGTTAATTAAAATTCGGTGACGACTTGTACAAACAAAAGAAAAGAGTAGCAATAGGTAACAGAGCAGCAGTCAAATTCGCAATAATATTCATGTATACACTAGAAACCAAGCTCTTAACACATAGAAAAAAGATTTAATTACAGAAGTATGGTACAGATACATCGACGACATATTTGGTACATGGAACCATGGAAAAGAAACACTACAGCAGTTTTGCTATTTCCTAAACAACTTCCACCCATCAATCAAGTTTACACTGAAACTACCCAACGCAGAAGGAAACCTAGCATTCTTAGATGTAACACTAACAATTTAAGACAGACAAATACAGAGTTGCTCAAATTCTTCTAAAAATTAGTCAAATAAGATGGATACTTTTGAGACAAAGATGAAATTGTTCATTCGAAATCGAAATTGATGAGTGTTTTGTTTTGTTTTTGAATTTCGCGCAAAGCTACACGAGAGCTATCTGCGCTAGCCGTCCCTAATTTAGCAGTGTAAGACTATTTACTATTTACTTATCAAATGTATTAGTTAATTCGATAGATTCCAAGATAAACTATAGTGATATTGTTAAAGTTATCTCACATTCTATTGTTTGCATTTTTAAAATTTCTATTGAACAAGAATGTATTTGTAACATCGATTGCAAAATTGACCATTTTTTCTTTCCAACGTTACAGTCAATTCCATAGATAACTCTTAACTAATTATATTAAGAGTACGTATTAATATTTAATGAAAGTTTTATTCAAAATGTTTGAAATAGAAGATCTAGTCACTATTGCGGCATCTTCAGATTGCCCTGATTTTCCTCAGTGTATTCTATAGGATCTGCAAAATAACAGGAATATTCATTGGATTCTATTACCTAGAGCAATGCATGTATTTGCTATACCTTTGACCAAGTCTATGGCCAATTAGAGGGGGGGCCAGGATAGCTAATTGGCTCGGGCCTCAAATTTAGACACTTGTCATTTTTTCTGCAATTGTTAAGTTTTGCGACTTGTTCTTATGCACAGAAAACAGTTAGAACAGCATTTAAATGTTAAATAATGTTCATAAATATATGTTAAGTAAACAATATTTAAATCATGTTTCTTTTTTTTGTGCTAATAATTATCTTATTTTGTTTTCATGTGTCGTCATTTTTTTTTATCATAGCCAG